TTGAACTTCTCCGGCACCCTGAACGCCAGCTCCAATTGCAAGGAAACCACGGGCACTGCAGATGCTACCATTCGCTTTCCGTACAGACAGCTCATTTCTCTAACTCCTGAACTGCTCCTGAACGTTTTCAAATTCTATCCACAACCACATCTCGAAGTCTTGAGCATGGCAGCATCACAACACTCCTGTGAGATTCCAATTTTCCCTGAAAAGCAGAAGGATCTGTGACCAACTCAGCCTTCAGTTTAGAAACGCACTCTGACGAACTAGTTCACTTAAACCTATTTGCTTTGGGTTATCGCAGAAAAAGGATTATTCTTGTTATGGCCTAGAAGATCGTTCATTAGATAAGTCACGTGAAAATACAACCTTGCCCGCAGCATGGTGGCCATCGTGAGGGATTTTTCACACCGCAGTAGCATTTTAGAGTGCCAGTGCCAGACCTAGGTCAAACTTCTCCTCCTTGAGATCAAGTGCATTGTGAGGTGCCTTGCTACAAGGCGAAATCACAGACCTCTCAGCAGGTCCATACAAAAGGAGGTCAAACAGTTGTGTTCGTTCTCACAAAGCTCCAGAGACGTGCTCAAGACACTATTAACCTCACTGGGTCATTGCCACTTCCTTGTAATCTACTAGTTACCACCTCTGCTTCTGGCACACCCGTATTATTCCATCCAGTAACAAAACTCATGATATCCACTTTTACCAGGCAGCAACCTGCCGTATAGTCTTTCTCACTATCTTGCTATCCGCATTAAAAGGCTTTTAAAGAGGAGGGCCATGAAAGGCCCGTAATCTCCCCCACCGACCCGTCGCTGCCTGCCTAAGTCACTCTACGAGCAGCAGATACCAACCCACAAAAACACATCTCACCGGGGCTGAAATTATACAGCATAAAAGATTCCCCTTTCCACTACAGCAGAATACCGGGCAAAAATCCAGGGTCCAAAAACATTACCTTGGATGTTGTCCTTTGGGATTTGAGTATGCGAAAGTATGTTGGCAGGTGGGAACGGAGATAACCTTCATGGACAGGAGGTCTCCGAAATGTTAGGCATCATATTCAACACAGCTCAACATTCCGTCAGGAAGGCCTAGAAGGTACATAGACCTGCCGCCCGAACGGCCTCCAACGTTACCCAAGGCGGCAATGTTACACGAAGTACAGATAACCTGTTCTTGATAAGTTAACAAGGCTAAGTGCGGGAAAATCCCCATGGCGTGAGGACATTCCCCCGTCTGTGTTGAAACAGTGTGCGGGGTCCCTAGGTGGCCCACTATGCAGTCTCTCCTAACATTCCTCAGATGAACAAAAAACTCCGGGAGAGTGGAAACGGCCGTCCACTCTTCAATCTTCCAAGGGGGGGACAGGCAGACCAATAGCACTTCTACAGTAATATCGAAATTTATGGAAGGTGTGGTGGGCGACAGCATCAGGGGATATCTGGGCACAACGTGAACACTCAGTGACGCTCAATAAGACTTCCAAAAGGGTAGGTCCTGCATCTTCAGCCTCATGACGACCCTTGGCCACTGGATAGCACGCTGAAACCTCACGGTCCCGATCCAGGTGATTTTTCTGAGTTTCGCTAGGGCCAACCTAAAACACAATATACCTGGGTTGGGTAGACGCTGTCAGGTGCTATTGCGGCTGCGGAACTACCCAGACAGTAGGGAGTTCTAGACAAAAGCCAGCAGGACGCACTCAATTTGGAGAACACTATCATCCGAGGTCCCACGAGGAACAAAACTTGGTTCGTTCACGAGTGGCCTCCCACTGCATATCAGCCTTCCAGTTCGTCACTGTGCTGATGAAGCTAAGTTATGGAGGATAGCAATTTGCGAAACGGAATCGGAAACACTACGGAATGACCTTGAAACACAAGAGGAATGGGCAACAGATAACGACATGGCATTTAACCTTGGATAAACTCCGGTCCATGGTTTTCTCCACTCCTGACCCACAGAAAGTGCTCCACTGCCTCCGTGGTTAATATCCATCTCATAAAGCAGAAGAAAGGATTCTGGGTTAACGGTGACGGATAAACTGGACAACAGTTATAATAGTGATAATAATAAATTTTTATTCTCACATTGGTAATCTAACATGAGAGAAGCCAAATTACAGGCATCATCACACTGGTATATGCCGAAAAATCTACAAGAATTTACGGATCCCGAATAGTACAGAGGGGAGGTGGTCAAAAACATCGGATCGCGGTTACGGAAGGAAGAACGTACCACTTTCAGCATATGCAGTGCGTCAAAGTGAAGATAATGGAAACTCTAATTCCCATATAATGGATTTAACATGACAGATACCAGCTCACAAGCACCGTCAAAATGATTTTGAAATTTCACAGAATAGCACCGGAAATTTTGTAACTCACATAGCAAGTTGTTGGTATGCGTAAACTTATTAAAACCTGCTGCAAATCAAGAGACGGGCGCGGATTTCCATCTGTAATTACAGAGATAGGCTCCACCATCAACGACAGAAGCGCGCAATATTCGAAGTTTGCGTTATGACCAGATGACGTTGTTAGTCCATTTGCATAGCTTCTAATTCAGTAATATAAACATACATCCGCCAGAAAGTTCTTCAGTTTTTGGCCTTGCTAACCACAAAGGGCCTATTATACTATCTGAGGTATCAGTAAGTATCCACAGTTATGTAACCAAGATGAGTGTCTAAATCCACACATTTCCAGTTCACCGTGTGGTTTAAAGGTAGCACACATTAATTCCACTGAAAGTGCTTCTAGTGGTGGATGGAAGCAGACGTTGAAACGGTTGTTAGTCCAAATGGCAGCAGTTATATATGGACTTCAGGCATGTTTCGAGAAGTGTATTTGATGCATGGTAACTTTTACTTGAAAAGATCACTTGATACAAAGTACTATAGAACATGTAATGTGGAATTACTGCAGGTAAGTCTTATAGGTATATTGGTTTCTCGTTTATAGTTTGTTCAGAATATTTGAGCCATTATGGCTGTTGGGAAACTTCAGAGGGTTCGTCGCAAGAAGAAACCTGACCAGCTGGTGAGCTAACTGTGAAGCTGGTCTGGAAACCGCGAAAGATTCGGAGAAGTCCAATAATGCACAGAGTCAAAAAAGGCGTTATTTCCACTAAGTAGATATATTGAAAATCAGCATCGAATGTCGTCATAGAGCCGTTGCATGCAACGAATCGAGTTCCGATTCCAAAGGAAATTTATCAAAAGCATTCTCTGACCAACCATCTGGGGGCATAAAAATAGGTGCCATCATTACAGAGATATATTCAAAAGCATGTGGAACATACATATGACCTAAAATGGAGCTACAGAAAGTAGTTCTTCAGCAAATAACAAAGGATTAAAGTAAAAACAGGCGTCGCTGAGACGAAGAAAGCAGATGAAAAAAGAAATAAACAGCCAGGCTAATAATAGAAAAGTTCGCAAAATGAAAAACGGCCAATGCGAAGTGAAGAAGAAACATGAAAAATAAATCAAAAAGAAGAAGAGAAACTATTTCAATAATAAAAATAAGAGCGAGAAATTGTTGAAACATATAGCCACATGAATCAACGTGACAACGATGATCATGAAAAACGGTGAGAGATGAAAGCCAATAGGATAAATGAGAAGATCGATGCGAGAGAAAAAACTATTCACCAAAACCACTGTCAAAGAAATATTTGGTGTTAGTGATCCACTCATGAGCAAGCCAGTTGAAACAGTCAATAGAATGACGTCGAGGAACAGCTCAGATGATCTTGTTCTGTTCCACATTCACGTACATTTCAGCCTGATCCTGAACAACAACAACTATGTGGCATCGCAAATCAAAAGTCGAGTAGAGGTTGCGAAGCCCATGGTTAATTTTAACTGAGTATGTTAAACGGCACCAACAGACCATCATCACAAGTATTCAAAAGTATTCAGCTATGAATGTTGTTGAAAGTGGCTAAAATACAATTCGGAGTATGGGAATTGCAGGTGATCCTACTGACAGATCATAACCATAGATTTTTCCGACCTACAAGTAAAAAGAAAATCCTGTGCGTAGTGACTACACAGAACCTAGTCACAGTAAAGTAGTGTTGAAGCTTTGAGTTGTTACGATCATTTAACTCCCAATCAGATCTGATATTCAATACCAGTCATGCATGTAGTAAAATATAACTTTCCTGATTGAGACGATTTGTGAGTATCTTTTACTTAAGTTATGCCATGTAATCACATAACCTAACTGAAAGCTGTACGCCTAAACTCCCAGCAATGTGATGAAGCACATGCTAGAACTACACTTTCCCTCCATTCATATCCAATTGCATCATAGACGATGCTTCTTTCCTTCGACTTCTCGTGGATTAGTCCTCGCACTGGAAGATTTATCATGTACCAAGACATGCAAATCACAGATTCGTATAAAGTAAGGATGTTCACAGATATCAAGACATTCAGGACAGGTTCGCCATATTCTTTGTTTTCTTGACAACGCCGAAATGTATGTGGACCATCAAGGTAATAATACACATGCCAAAGTCAGACTTTTAAGCCAATCAAGTTTGCCAAATGATTGAGTTTTAAACTCCAACCGCCACAGTAGATAAAGACATTTGAATAGTATGTTTCTCAATCATCTACTCCCATGTGCTACACAGCCGGAGTAAAATTAGGCTAATCTAATCCTTTCATTTGGCAGATTGAACCGCAATACCAGTATGCAGAGTATTTCAGTGTTTGGTGGAGTGGCAAAGAGAACTCTAAATTGTCTGCTTGAAGTCTATGAGTAGTCAACTGAAGTTGATCATTGGATAATCAAAGTATGCAAGACGAAGCAGGCTAAAGTGAAGCTGAGAAATACATTAGAAAATTTGTGATGGCCCTTTTACATGATGAAAATTGTCATCCCAATTTCAGGCCTTTTGTTTTCAATGTTGTCTTGTCCACAATAGTTACCATCAAAAGTCGCTATAATATCATACTAGGATATTCACGGTCACGAAACTCACCTTCACTGTAACAAAATGCTCGCAAACACAACAAAACTAATGTTGATAGTGTCCTGGGAGGCCTCCAGATTATATCTTTCTGCAGGACAGTAAAAGTAACAAGTACTCTTTCTGAAACAGCACGAAGCAGGTTGGGAGTAACTTTGCTGTATAAACTCACTACACAGTAACATTGATGAGGAAACATGTCCAGTTGGAAGGATTAAGTAATTCATTTTGACTGGGAGTAGAATCTCGTTCACATAAAGCACCCGTATTCACTCAAACTGAAAGTCTTAGCTAAAATACTGCATAATTCCATATCACAGGGAATGTAAATTACATTCATTGATCATTGAGTGAATGTATCTGAACAAAAATGAAACATTGTAGTCATCAGCTGGCGAGTTCGGCATACAAGTAATGTAAAGTGAGTTGGCCAATTGGTGTCTGGTTTCAGCTGAGATTTCTGGAATAGGATATGACAACACATCGAATGCCACTCGTGTTGCTGGATGATTTCGTACTTGGTTCATTGAACAAAACGATGATTTCAATGCAGTGATACCTCGTATTTTATGCGGGTCCTTGTAAATGACGATGCTATGCGAGCAGGAGTAATGCAGCGATGTATGAGTGTCCACAAATTCTCAATACGGATCCTAATCGACAACTTTGAAGCTCATGACATCAAAGCCTATTAAGCTCTTCCTGTCAGTGTGTTTGGAAAATGGCACAAACTTCAAACTAAGTACATTACCAGTAAACTGTATCATTGATTTCAAACATGTTCAGAAACGATGCACCTTTTGAATTTTTAGGTGTTCGGAAACACAGAAAGAGTGAATAAACAGAAGCATTCTGACAGATTTTATGTTTCACGTCATGAGAGCGGATAAAAGCTTAAGGAGAATTAAAGGAGACACCTCCATCAATTTGCACGAATTAATCCATTTTCAAGGCATACACGAACACAAAGCATAAGAGAAATGCAAACAGGTGAAGTTTACCTTTCAGAATTTCTTCACATTTGAATCCACAAAACCTCTCTGAATGGCTTTTAATCTTGGGGACAAGAGTATTTACAAAAAATTCAATCGTCTTCTCTTTCTGATCCTCTTGTTTATATGTGTGTGCCAGGAACATGTGCGATGCTACCTAGGAAGAAATAGTTTGTGATAACTTCATACCTGCACATTTTTATTCTCACTAACAATAAAATGCTTCACGTTATCAACCAGGTTCATTGTTCGGAAAACACTCAACACTACTGTGCTTTCGTGACACACAAAGTTGTATAGACTTTTTATGATCACTTCCACCAAAAATGCAACTTCCTACTAGAATAATTGTTAAGAGTAGCTCTCTTACACGTTTCAGCTCTCTCTCAACGAGATTTGAACAGAAAGATAATAGACGAGAGATTTCGTCCATATACGTTTTCTGCGACGACATTGATTCTGCCAGTGAAATGCTAAGCTCTAAATAGTTACACAACGCAGATTGGAGAGATGCTCGGAAAACTGGTAAACCAAATACGCAAAACTAAGTTCTGAAAGGTTGTCGTACCATATCAAAGCAATAGAAAGTATCCTGGTCGATCCCCACCAACTCATTTGCTGTTAGAGTATGTAAGTTGTGGAACTTCCTTCCTGAGGAAGTTGCCGCCCCCTGTTCATGATACTTTCAAACAAAGGTTTGGTGGACTAGGTGAGTCTTCCAGAACCAACAGAGAGGATTCAAGAAGCCACCAGCAGTCTTTCAAACTGTGGATTTTAGCACGATTAATAGAGAGGTATTTCATTATTTTTCTCCGCAGTTTCACCTTCGTTTGATCCGGTGAAAAAATAAATCCGATAAAACAAAAACCATTCTTATCATAGAGTAGTGACGTGTTTCGCTCGTCTCTCAGCTTTTGAATTTTTCCATAATGAAAAACTCCCACTTGCAGTACTCGATCTAAAAACATCGAACGTTTGCAGCACTTCTGTCCGTCCACGCACCTCACCCCTACGTATTCGTCAGCTCACTCCTCAACAGTTGAAAATTGGCATTATTATTTCTTTGAACCAACCGGTCTACCTTCTGTCAGTGGTTCTTGTGCGTTTCAACTGCCAAACTGCCTTAGCTCTCGGTTCTCCTCGGAGGTCACTCCCCGAGAAGTATCTTTCCTGGTTATACATACGCATCCGGGGCTTACTGTTAAACTTGTTGGTCAAGAGCAGAGGATCAAGTGACAAGTGTCCGAAGGTGAGCCAACATAAATTATCTTCCCTTTTCTATTCTGTCCTTTTGCTGCATTCAGTCTTCAACCCTCTTATTGTTGTTAACTACTTGTTTTCCCAAGAAGTTTATATCATAGCTACATGTCTGCCCAAAACGCTAGGTCTAAAGCTTTGACACGGATAACGCGGTCGTGCACAAAAACGGCCAAAAACACCCTAGACAACACACTAGTCTGTACTGGAAGACAAACAGAGGTAGGGCAGAACACCGAACTTCTAAAGAAGTGGCCAACCCATGTTTCTAGAATTCCAGTAGCCATCAGACAGGTGACACAGAGTAGCACTAGCCCGTCGCAAACTAGTCCTGTCTTGAGCAAGGATCATACCATGCCTGGAAATAGAAGACGACGCCAAGCGCTTCAGAACAAGGCAGCCACAAGCAGTTCGCCACAATCCGTAGCACCTTATTCATGGAAGGAAGGCTGTTTTACGACACTCAATAAGCTGATGAAGAGACAACCATGCAAGTGGTTCTGGTACATCTGTCCAGAGTGCAGGAAAATGCCCGCACTCCGCACAGAAAGCCTGAAGGAGATGCTCTCCGCCACGCAAAAGCTACCAGCATCCTCGAATAAAGTAGGGTTAACACCAAAGGATAACACAGAGAGACCTGGAAACAGACCTAGAGCTCCAGCTGTGGGCACGCCACCTCGCGTGGGGACCATATTAGGTCAAGTCTCCATACCCCTACCCGGCCCCAGGGGACGTCAAGCGCATGGCCAAAGACATCGACCGCCGAAGCCTCTACGAAACCCATTCCGAACACCCCACACACCGTGACTGAGAAACAACCAGTGGAATTACTCAAACCCATTGGGAAGTCGGGCGTGCCACCCACAACGAACCCAGGTCACAGGAGGACCAACTCGATCATTTTGTTCAACGTCGATGTATCGACAGACTCATTGTTGGTCGAGAGGGAACAATTTGACAGCCGAATGTGGACCGACTACTGTCAGATGCTGGGACTCCCTCCCCTCCCTGCAACTTTATGTCGCCTTTCTCGAGGAAGCCATGCACCCCGAGATAAGCCACCCCCTTTACGTGTGTCCCTAAATACCGCCAAAGAGGCTGAAGACACACTCCTCTCTTGCGACAACCGGACGTTGTTAATGCCTGTAAAATTCGGGCCAGGCCTGACAAGCCATGGTCAATAAGAGAGGAGGAGAGAAAGTCAGCGGTTGGAAATCCCAACAGAAACAACACTATAGTTGTACATGGGATTCCAGAATTGCCAAGTGACAGCTCGGTCAAAGATCGGTACTTTCACGACGTCCAACAATGGCAATGGCTCTCAACCAAAGTTGGTCTCAACAGTATACCGGCCAACAGCGTCAGTAGACTGCCAAGGCCAGCGCACCTGAAGACCATACCCAATCCCAGACTACTTGCCGTCCAGTTCGACTCATATGCCTCCCTCACAGACGTTCTGCACGCATGGTATAATGCGAAAGATCGCATGGGTGGCTCAATACGTATATGTGAAAGTAAGCCTAGACCCACAAGGCAAGAGGAGAGACGGCAACCACCAAGACCTCTGGAGTCAGTGGTCGTCACACAGGCGCTGACCAGTGAGTTAGATACATCAAGTAAAGAAGCCACCACTGCTACAGCCCCCACCCAAGTTAAGAACAAAACACAAAAAACGGAACAATGCCAGTCCTATGAGGACTGGCGAGGCTAAATTCAACCACGTAAGCGCTCATCCCGCGAAAATACACATCCAGACCTCCCTCTCATCAGGTACACTCTAATATGTATGTACAGCAACGTTAGGGGGCTAATAGGGAAGGTAGCAAAAATGAGGACGCTGCGTGAACATCAGCACTACGACATCATATTCATCACCGAATCCTGGCTCTCATCGGACATCTCCGACGAAGAGATGCGTGTTGCTGGCATGGAACTCTTCCGCAGGGACAGGGAACATAGAGCAGGAGGGGGAGTGGCTATCTACGTAAACTCCTGTTTAAAGGCAAGGATGGTTAGCGATACGGCCTTAACCCAGCTCCCAGAGTCTCTATGGTGCTACTTCACTCTCTTCTTTATTCTCTCTTCATTCCTTTACCACTACCTTACTATTCTCTTCCAGGTACCTACACAGACAGGAGTCATGGCAGTTCTCTAAACTTCCCAGCAACCCGTAGCTCCCTAATCACTCTACAAATTACAACCTACTAACCCACAAAACATCCACCTCACCGAAGCTAAAAGCAAGAAAGCAGAGGGGATTTCCTCGTCCACTGCAGGAGTAAACCGAACAACTGGAACCAAGCCCTAAGAACTAGACGCGAGAGATCAAAAACTACCAGTTTTCTACGCTCGCACTATCAATATTGGATATTGGATCAATATTGGATATTGGATATTGGATATTGGAGAACGTATCTTAGTCAGTGAGGTCCAGAACCCATGAAACCTTTGTTCACCACTTTTAAAAGTGTATTTTGAAGTTTAAATGTTGGATGTTGTAAGTGCTAAATACAACGCGAGAGATCAAAAATTACCAGTTTTCTACACTCGCACCATCAACATTGGGTATTGGAAGTGCTAAATTCAACGCGCACATATCAAATAGTCGTCTAGTTTTCGCTTCTTGATATTCGCCAAAAGTGATTGA